AACCCAAAGATTCTATGATTCTATGATTCATACCCTCAGGAATTTGCTCACAAGTTCCATAGTGAAGGTCTCAAATTTCTGAGGGAAAACAGCAAGTTTCTCTCTGATCATAAAAGTCATCAAAACCCACAAGTTTTGTAAGACTATCTTTTCATGAAGGATATTTTAAAGTAAATTACTACCCTATTTTGGGTCAAGCAGCTAGATGTGGGAGATCACTAAAGTTTAGTTAGGGTAATTAAACATTAGTAAATAATTTCTTGATGTACCTGGAGAGATCATTTTGCACCAGCATGCGGAACAATGTTGGAGCACCAACCAGCGTGTCAATGGGGAATCTGCAGAGAGTCTAGTAAGTTAAACAACAAGATGGACGTATGAAGCTCAGACAAAAAACTGCCTTGTGGATGTACAGTAAACAGGCGATACAGGGGGCAAAAGCAGCTCTTCTCCTAATGTAAAAACACCAGATCCTCTCTGTTGGGTAAGAAACCCTCCTACAGTTGGTGTAATATGCAGAGAATCACAGTATATTTGAACAGACAAAATCCCATGCTAACATGGCTAGATGACACCCAGACCACACAGCTTGGAGCATGGGCAGAATAAGCCCATCTCTGTATTATAGGGAAGTTTTCTCTTTCATCTTGGCCAGTGTGGGCAGAAAAACATTTCAGTTTCAGTCTGCATTCACTGGAATAAAAGGCAAGCAATTAATGCTGCTTTTGGGTGATTTTCATTCACATGCTCAGCTATGAGCAAAATGAACCACAGGATTGGCCCTTCATGTGTATGTTAAAAATGCAAATAGAGGCTTTTACACAACGGATACAGCATCTCAAACACAACTATAGACACAATCCTCATGAAATCTAGGGATGGTGTTAAGAATTTTTTTTTGCACCCTTTCTGCAGATTAACACATCTCTATTAATTTTTCCTTACATTTAGGATGGTTGCTGATTCAATTTGTGGGAGCTTATGTATAAAGACGCATGATCCAAAAACCCAGGGATCAAAAACAGATGCCAGCGAAGTTAGTATCCACCCTGTGTCTGCTGTGCTCCATATCATGTCCGAGGCAGTCAAATCCAACCAGTACCTGATAGAGCAGAAAAAAATGAAAAAATAATGAAAAATTTTTGCTTAAAAAAGCCAGCCCAAGCCACAAACAAAGAAAATTAAAAACCCCAACAAGCCCAAGACTTCTAACAAGATACATAGGCACTAGGCACTCTGAATAAGCTTATTTGATGAGCTAGCTCTAGGATAAAAGAGCATCTAACTATATGCTTGCATACTTTTATATATATATATACACACACATATGTGTATCATACACATATGATGTCAGTCATAACATAGGACAGAGTAAGCAAAAGAGAGGAGTCCAAATTTCACTAGGGAGGAAGATAGGCCTGGAACAGCAGCATTCATGGATGCTGTGTTAGACACCAGGTATTTCAGTTCTATGGCTGCTGAGAGACCAGGATGCAATGAACATAAACTCTGCCTCTGCTCAACTATACATCCCACAAAGCTTTCTGCAGCCCAGACAGCCTGGTATCTCTTGGTTCTGTGCACTAAAGTATTCCCAGCTGACAGCTGTCCTTTGAACCACTATAAAGAAAGGGTAAGAGATATTCACTGAAAAATGGAAACACTGGGCATGATCCTACTTCCCTAGAAATCTGCTGGAGTTTCTAGTCTGATTTCAGAGGGAGGACTGGGGCCATACACTCTTATTCAGTAATTTTTCGTCAGTTCTACTATGCAGCTTCAATTATCCCATGTTCAACCAGGCTCAAACCTTTCATACCTTTCACTTAAAAGGGGTCTGAAACCAAGACTACCCTGGGAATGTTCAGTCATCTTTGGAGAACCTGTGGTTCCACTGGTAAAGAAGATAGACACTGAGTCTTGAAGCTTTGTTTTGACGCAGGAATGGTCAGTAGGTTGGTTTCTTTAAAACAGAGAATGCGATCGTGACTTCAATGGTTACTTTACACAGGCTTTGGAATGTAATGAAGTATTACCCTGCTAACCCAAATAAATTTCACAGAAGCTTTTCACCAAATTAGACTAAAATAATGTGGAGTTACACTCTCCTCAAAGACAGACTTCCCCTTAAGAACAGGACAGAAACTTCCCAGAACAGGGCCACTGTCAGTAACCAAGCAGTCATGATTAACATCTTAACGATCATATTTGATGAGTATTTGTAGTTGATGACTACTTCTAAGTGAACGCTTGTGGAGAACAGATCTGCTTTCTGCATCGTGACTACAGTGTCAGTAACTCATACTCACTTGTACAGGTCAGTGAAGTTCAGCCATCCCTCCCTAGCGCCTTTGGACACGATTAGCTTGGTTTTCAGAAACTGACACTCAGACGCTACTGAATCCACGGCAGGAGCCAGTTTGTCATCAGTAATGACACACATGGCCTTTGAAGCCTGGAGTCGATATAATATGTCTTTGGCTGATAATTGGGATATTCCTGGAATTAAGACAATTCCTGGAAAAGCAATAAAGTTAGTTTGGGATGGCATCATTTACATCTGATTCTTTTCTAAGAACCTAAACTATTAACCACTCCCAAACTGACCTCTCAGATGAATTTGCATTCCCAAGCCAAACAGTTACAGTACAGTAATGCAGCTGCTTGTGCTCTCCTGTAAGGAATGAAATGCGGACCCATCTGATGTCTTCCGTGGCTCTTCCCTGCCTTCTGTCATCTCCACACCTGCTGCACAGGCCACCTGTCCTATGGCACCTAGTGCAAATCCTTCAGGACTGCCTGAGTAGTTGGTAGCTAGGTCACTCACTAGATTATTACATTACTTTTTCTTTATAAACAATATAAATTACTGATCCTCTCAACTGATTTGCATTAACCAGTCTCAGATATGCTCACTGACCTGCACGCATGCAAGCCACATGCACCAGCCACCATTCTGGGACTCGCGGAAGGATCACAAAAATTCGGTCGCCCTTTTGCAGTCCACATACTTTAGTCAGCACATTGGCCACTTTCCGAGACAGGAACCCCAACTCCTCAAAGCTCCACTTCACTTCTTCTCCTTTTCCGTTTATCCACCAAAGGGCAGGGTTTGATGGTCTCTTTCCAGCCTACAAAACATAGGGATTCAAAACAAAAAAATTTGCTTCTGAAAGACAATGAAATTACAATGCACAAATATCTGCAAATATGGAAGATCTGAGTATTTCACAACTTGCATACAAGCTATTATTTGTCCCTTGTCCTTAATGAATCAAGATTTGCTATGGATCAAACTCAGGTATTCCCAATAAATTCCCCTTTTCTGAACATGAAATGTTTACCAGCTCAGTTGCCTCCAGACTCAAATCCTATTTCAGTTTAAGCCTTAGGCTGAGCATTAATGTTCCCACAAAATGGCAGATAACATGAAATACTCCACATAATACTCCTGATATTCTGGATGGAGTTTTGGAATACTATTAAACAGAAGCAGCATGAGCAGAGAACAAAATAAAACAGGACAACACAGTATTCCAGGACTCTTTCTAGTCTGGTTGCTCAGGAAGAGGGGAGTTAAGTGGTATCTCAAGACAGGGCATCTGGACAAATGCAGAATCCACTTTAGAGCAAGGCAATTAAACATTTGTGGGATCATCCCTAGCATGCAATGTTATTGTTATGTTACCTGAATTTTTATTATGTGAATATCTAATATTATAGTATGCAGAAGGAATAAGCACAGCCATTCCATGGTTAAATCAAAGTCAAAAAGGGACCTACCATTGATTTTTCTACCTACATAGAGAGCACCAAGACACTTAAAATAAAGCAAGAATGAGATTTTGTATCATTTCTTAATGAAAATTGGTTTCGGCAACTGATTTTTTTGATGAAGAAACCAACTACCTCATTTCAAAAGAACTAAAAGTATCTCATCTGCACAACAAAAGATCAGCTACCTTTTCAATCTCAGACCATTTGTCCAGTACGTCACTTGCAAAGTTAAAGTACTTTGGTATTTCCTGTTCACCTCGCCTGACAGACTCGTACTGTGAATATACATCAGAGGCAAGCAGCCTGGCATGTCCATGGAAAGTCCTATTAGGAGGCTTCAGAGTCCACAAGAATTTTAGAGTCCGTAATTTAAACAACAGCTTCATGGCAGAAGATGATGTATGTAGACACTGTAGATTACAAAAGAAAAATTAACAGAATCGTTGCTATGAATCCTGCAACAACAAAACCAAAATGACCTTGAGAGTATCCAAAGGCAACTCAGTTATGAATTGATGAATTGTTAATTGAAGTCAATTAGGCTAGTCACAGACAAACTGATGTTTTTAACAGTTCAATTAAATGTGAAGTTCCTCCTCCTGCTTTCTTATATTTTTTACCACCAGCTTTTTAAGGACTTAATGTACTGTACTGCTCTGGCATCTTGTCTGTAGCTCAGCTGATCCTTATAAATTCTTGACATGTTCTTTGGGGCTGCTAATTGCCCACAACAATCCTTAGTCAAACACAACATCAGATGTTATTGTTTGCATTATAAGAAGGTTACTGGTGTCTACACCGAAGCATTCAGTAGCTGACTCTCTACTCCTTTTCCTTCACGTGGAGCTGGAGGATGTTTCCAGACTACTTCCATCAAGATTCTCATTGCTTTAGCTTGAACAATTGCTGACTGATCTATACATTCACCACACATATCCCAAGAACCTCCACTTCTGTAATCCCTTATGTAGGTCCCCAAATTTGATTTAGACACTTTAGATTTGTTCACGCCCTTCCATCAGTACTTACCATAATGATCCTAAAAAACTTTCTTCCTTTCCATTGCTACTTTTTTTTTTCTTTCTCTCTTTTTATATTTTTTTTTCCCCAGCAGTCTAGAAGATTGCTTCAGAACTGTGCTCAACTCTAAAAATTTTAATGTTATTTAGAAGCTTCTCGTAAGTGCACATTAAGATTATAAAACATGGGATAAAACCTGACTCATGTCTGCAAGAGCCTGCAGTCAGAGCAGGAGCCACTGGAGTCCTGGAGGCCTATGATGATTCTAAAAGCTGGGTCCATCTATTGATCTTCCTTTTTCAAGCACTAAATACAAGCTACTAAACTAAATACAAGGTTAGGTGAGTGACTACTGAAACACAGATACTTTTCTGTTCTTACAAAGGACGAAGCTATCCACAGATTTACAGGAACAAAATTATAGGTAAACTCTTGATTAAATTATTTTCCATGTGGAATTTCTGTGGCCTGAGCGAAGCTCCGAAGTTTTGCCCTTTGCCCCAGGTTTTAAAGTTTGTTTTTTATTCATTTACTTCTTGTTCTGTGTCTTCAACCGTAACAATTTATCCTTACATCTCTGATGCATGGATCTCAGTTTTGGCCAAATTTTATTCCCCAAGAAAAAAGTAACTTACTTAACAGTGGAATTATTTCCTTAGTCCTTAGCAGGAGCTGTTACAATAATATTTAATCTGCCTATCAGGAGAACGAACTCAAGTACCTAGAATTTGCACAACTTAATCTTTTCAGTGATATCTGACAGCATGAAAAAGTCTGGATGCAGATTTTCCCCCTACAGCAGATACTTTGTCAAAATCAACAGTAATTCACAGTGTTCTCCATGCTACATGGAGATTATGGTAGAGAAATACTGACCAGCTGTAAATAATGCTATAGGATATCATTTGCTCATGAGAAAGAATCATAGGACATGGATATAAAATTAAGTGTTATTATGTTCTTAAGTACCATCCACTTCAGATTAGGATTATAGAGCAGAATCTTATTTAGATGGTACTTACATTTTAAATCAAAACTCAATTAACAGGACCTGGTGGAAAAAATTAATCTAAATATTCCCTAAATATGTCCATAGAAAATGGATATTAATTAAGGGGGTTTATGTTCTGGGATATACATTCATTTCATATTTTCTTCTTACTTAAGGAAACAACTGTAAGTAAAAATATCAAGTTTTTCATTAAACGTAACCTTTCTTTGAGGTTGTGACCTCCACCGTTAACATTAAAAGAACAATGGCTCCACTTTCATTCCTTTAGCAGAAAAGCCTAATCATTTTGATTATTCTTTTTAATAACATAGGAAGAATTTTCTCATTTCTTAGTCTGCTCTATGATTTAGCTATCTACATATTTCAGAGCATTGCAATGACAAAATCTACACAATAGCCTCTAAAGAAAAGAGGAGAGAAAGAACATTCAGCAACAGTATTCGAGACTGCAAATGGCATTCAAGACTGGCGAGATGAAAAACATTCTAAATCCAGGATTCCCTAATGGTCTACAAAAATGTCTGCAAAATTTTGCTGTGAGAGCCTTTGACAGTTTTTTAGCACCTTTTCTACCTGAAAACTTAGAGGTGAAAATGAAGTAAGAAAATTGAGGAAAAGACCCAATAATGGCAAAGTCCTCTGAACTGCTGCAAGAATCAGAAATTATTTTTCCTAATTTAGTACCATCTGTTGCTTCTCAATGATCAACAACACTAGGAATTCAAACAACATTTTCCTGACCTGTTTGTTGTGGACAGTATATATTGAGAGCTGGCTGGGGTAGATCCTCTTCATTCGGTTCATTCAGCTTTCAGGACATGTTTTCCAAATGAGAACTGTAAAGATTAGCCTTTATCTGGAGACGTGAAACCTGAACGTTCTGTCAAAAAGGATTTGGTGTGAAATCCTTTCTACTTTATCATTTGCTTCTTTTCAAGTAATGAGAACAGAACATTGCACAAACAGACCAGGCAGCACAATTCTTTCTGTGGAATAACCTTTTCCTTGTAATCATTTACACCACTGTTAATTGTGCATAATTTGCACTTTAACCTAAAGCACTTTGTATCTTCTCTTTTCATCCACTTTAACCATTTAAGTAGATCACAAATTTATCCAGATGAAGAGAATTAAATAATATGTCTTTCTCCTTCCACTCAGAAAGAATTTGGGAATGTTACAGTGATAGTTTTTGAAGAAAGAGTATCAGTTTTTGAAGAAAGAATATCACTTCACTGCTGATACCCACTAAAGGATAAAGATTATTTTTATTAATTTCTCATTTATTTGTAATTACCAAAGTGTTGTAGTTACACTTTTTTTTTCCCCAGGAAGCTGTTTACACTAGTTCCCATAAAAAAATTAAACCTTGTAAGCTCCCAGATCTCTCCCTTCTCTCTCCCATTCCACATACTTGCACCTTCTCCCTTCTGAAAACTTGTAGGTCTATGGCAAAAGTGGTTCTAACACTACACATCCTCAAGATATATGAGTGCTGTCTCCTTTTTTTTTTCCCACTGCTTGTTTTTCCATATGCTCTGCTAGTGCTCTGGGTCATGACCACATCCCAAGTGTGATATGCTATGGCTGGTATGGATGATGGGAATTTTCTCTCAGTTTCCTGATCATGTTATTCCCCACTCTTTGTTCCTTAGAACCTTTCTCTGGATTTCCCAGTAACTGTCTTTGGCAGATCCTGAACAAACTCCACTTGAAAGGCAAAAATGCTCACTTTTAGCCAAATACATTATGATTAATCTCCTAGGTGCAAGGAAAGCTACACTTTTATTGCTGGCTTAAAAAATGGGAAGCTGCACAGCTTAGGGCTGGGACGGTGAAATTCCTTACCACACACCTTAAAACCGACTTGCAGGGACAAGTACCACAATCCTGAAGAGATGAGTGCTTCCACTGTCAAGACAGGGAGGAACTGGTGTCTTTCCAGGTTGTAAGGGATGGATTCCAATCCCTCTGAGGCCAGCATGAATTTCTCCTTTGCTTTGGCTGAGAGTCTGAACAGAGCTCAAGTGAAGAATTGATAAAAGCTGAGCACTTTGTCCATTTGAGTCACTGTGAAAACCATAGCATTTCATGAAAGAAAGACTGGACCCTGATAAAGGTAAGTTACATTACCATTTCCCCCCTTTGGGTGCTTTCTAGCACATCCAGTGAACCCAAGGCTACAGCTGCAACAGACCCTGTAATTTAGTCTTATTTTAGTTAACTATGGTCAGAGTGGTTGTCAGAATGCAGTTGAAAAAAAGCTGAAGCAGGACAAAAACTGTTTAATTTTTGATACAATTAGAAGAACTGTCTTTTTGTGGTGTACTTACCTTCCTCGGATGCTTGTAAGGTGCGGTCACCCTCTTTACATGTTGCTGAATTGTGTGATACAAAAGCAGGAACTAAAACAATGAAGGTTTTGACCACCTGTGCCACAAAAGTTAAGGGACTCCATTAACTTCCCAGACATGGGAATAAAGGGATACATTTTGTTGCCAAAACTCAGTATCAAAATTCAGAAATGCAAAAATTTGATATTTTTCATTTCCGTTTTCATTGGCTGTTTATTACAGAATGCAATGTTATGAAGCACATATTCTGCAGCATAGGATTTTTTGCCATTTTTCCACTTTCTTTCCTTCTTAACTTTATACACTACTAAACTTTCAAAAAGTAGTAGCACAGAAAAAAAAAGACAGCTGCAAATCTCATACCAAGGCTCAAAGAAATGTGGCGAAGTTGAAAAATATAAAAAGAAAAATTAAACACTGTGGATATCATTGCCACCACATGCTTACTGACAAAAAGAGAAATAATCCAAATTCCATTTCTTAGACAGAAAGATGCCACAATAAATCTGAAAAGCCAAACTTTTTTCCCACATCAAACCCTGCAAACAGGGAAATAATTCTGAGATTCCAAGGTCAAGGTAAGTGTTTAAAATTTTTTCAACCCATTTTAATTTTAAAAATCTGCAATATATTTAATTCCAGGGAAGCCTAGTACATATAAGGAACTTGATGCTTAGAATAAAGTGCATTTTTTTTTTCTATATTTTTCCTTTCTTTCTTTTTACTTGCCCTCACACTGGATCAGGACTGCTGACAACAGCTGATTCTGAGACTGCAGGGTGTTGTATTAATGCACTTTGGACTTCAAATGTGCCAATACAATACCTAGGAGAAAATGCAGATATGACAGCCGTAGCAAGCTAGCCATTCAATTGGTCTTTCCAGATTGAATTTTGTGATAAAGCAGAGCATCATTAACAGGTAACTGAGCAAATCTAAAAGCAACTGACTTACCCAGAAGAATCAATTATATCATCAGCTCTTCCAACAAACCAGTCAT